CAGCAGCCGCTGCGCATGACAGCACCGATGTTCGAAGCGCGTGGCAATATTTTTGTCTTTCAATCCACCTGACCAGCTGTCCCCGCCGACTACCTGGACAATTGCAGAGGAGGATGTGTGGCCTAAGTTCCGCTTCAGCGCCATCGTATACCCACCATATACACTCACATTGCGCTTGCCAGGTCGCAGGACTAACTTCTCTGTCATGCTGTCGATGAGTACCCCCTGAGAGCTGACGAGTTGCTCTAAGCGCTCTGACCGCTTTCTGTAGTGATTCCTGCTCGCACTTAGTTTCTTGCAGTCGTCTCTCAACCTCGCCACCTCGATGTCGCGGTCCATCAGTGCGACCTTCAATTCATGAGGAGTCATGGCGTCGAATTTGGAAAGGTGCTGTTCTACGATGGGCGCGATAACCAGATTCGATGGCGACGGCCCCGCTGGAACGAGCGACGAAGCAGCGTCACAGAGAGGCACGGCATCAGCTGCATCGCCTTCAACGTCGACGAGGCGATTGCGAATCTGTTCCACGTGCGATGGGCCAAGGTGCGTGTTGCATAAAGCATTCAAGCACTCAGGGAGCAATTCCAATGGGATCTGGTCGGCAGCTCGACCGTGCAATAGTGCCTTGAGTTTGTGTTTGACCCTCGCCGTTATTGTTCGGATGTTCTGGTCGGCGTCGCCCCCGAGGAGCTGCGAAGCCAAAGCTGCGACAGTGTTGAAGTTCAGCAAGTTCAGCGCTCCGAGCGACACGGCTCGCCTCAAGCGCCTCGCATTGAGGTACGACACAATGTCATTGACAGCAGCTTGCGCTGAGGGAGGCATGCCTTTGGACGGGTAAAAAAATGTAAAACAAAAAGTGTGCGTATATGTTTGAATAAGTGTGTACGGTGTGTATGTATATATAGTGTGTATATGTATATATATATATGTATATGTGTATATGCACAAACGTACTTACATGAATGTTTGTATGTCTTTATGTACTACAGCAATAAATGAATAAATACATATATATATATATATACACATATATGATTCACGATCCCTTGCCTGTGGGGCCCGCGGCGGCGGGCGGCGGGTGGGGCGGCGGGGCCCCGCGGCCCGCGGCCTCCTTGCGGCCCGCGGCCGCCGTGTGGCACCGCTTGGGCCCCAGGGCTCTCGGGGCGCGGCGGCGGGCCGGCGGGTCCCCGTCCTCCCCCCGTGCTCAGTGCTCCTCTCCCTGTAGTTTTCTCTCTTCGTCCCTCCTCCCGTCCTCCTCTCCCTTATGTTTCCAGTTTTCTCTCTGCCTCGCTGTTTATACTTTCCTCTGCCGTTGTTCCTCCTTTTCGGTCCCCTCTCTTCCCTCCCCCTCCCCTTCTAGTCACACCTGGCCCCTTCGGAGGAAGAAGAGGAGGATAAGGAGGAAGGAAAGGAAACCGAGGAGATCTTATGAGGATGCGAACTCAAACGGACGAAAGTCAGGCACTACCAGCACCACCAGCGATACTAGCAGAAGCGATCGCACTAGCAGCACAAGTAATAATAGTATTTCTCATTATTAGTAGTAGCTTATTAGTAGTAATAGTGGTGGTGGCACTACGGATTAGTAGGAGGAGTACGAGTAGAGGTCGGAGTAATAGTATTACTAATGGTAGTGGTAGTAGTAGTAGTAGTAGTAGTAGTAGTAGTAGTAGTAGTAGTAGTAGTAGCAGTAGTAGCAGCAGTAGTAGTAGCAGTACTAGTACTACGATTCGTCGTAGTCGTAGTCGGAGTCGGAGTCGTAGTGGTAGTAATAGCGGTCGTAGCAGCAGTAGTAGTAGTAGTAGTAGCAGCAGTAGTAGTAGTAGTAGTAGTAGTAGTAGTAGTAGTAGTAGTAGTGTAGTAGTAGTATTATTCGTAGTAGTAGTAGTAGTAGTAGTAGTAGTAGTAGTAGTAGTAGTAGTAGTAGTAGTAGTAGTAGTAGTCGTCTGCGTCGTCTCCGTAGTAGTCCTAGTAGTAGTAGTAGTAGTAGTAGTAGTAGTAGTAGTAGTAGTAGTAGTAGTAGTAGTAGTAGTCGCAGTTGTAGTAGTAGCAGTAGTAGTAGTAGTAGTAGTAGTTGTAGTAGTAGTAGTAGTAGTAGTAGTAGTAGTAGTAGTAGTAGTAGTAGTAGTAGTAGTAGTAGTAGTAGTAGTGGTAGGTAGTGGTAGTGGTAGTGGTAGTGGTAGTGGTAGTGGTAGTGGTAGTGGGTAGTGGTAGTGGTAGTGGTAGTGGTAGTGGTAGTGGTAGTGGTAGTGGTAGTGGTAGTGTAGTAGTGGTAGTGGTAGTGTAGTAGTAGTAGTAGTAGTAGTAGTAGTAGTAGTAGTAGTAGTAGTAGTAGTAGTAGTAGTAGTAGTAGTAGTAGTAGTAGTAGTAGTGGTAGTGGTAGTAGTAGTAGTAGTAGTAGTAGTAGTAGTAGTAGTAGTAGTAGTAGTAGTAGTAGTAGTAGTAGTAGTCACCACGGCGTCCTGTCAAGGGCATCGGAAGGCACGAAACAGCCCGATACAACCTACCCATGCATCCGCTGCGCCTCTGGAGGGCTATCCCGATCGCGCATCCCGAACGAAGTCGACCGCAAGGCGGCGAGAGCAAAAGCCTGCGCAATAGCCCCAGGGTCGGGTAACTCGCGGAACATCCGCGCACGTAGCAGGGTTGTCCTGCCAAGGGGGCTGACACTCTGGCCGCCAGCTCGGCGGAGGCATCGGGTAAAGAACTCTTGCGTAAGGAATCCAGGGAGCGAAAGCCAGCGGAGCTCCCAGCGAGACGTGGCCATGAATATCGCCGCTGCCCTCGTCGGAGAAGGGGTCCTCCAGAGTCTGAGGCCTCCTGGGCTTAGTGGGCCCCGTAAACGGCAGGGCCGTTTTTTCAACGATTTCGAAAAGTGCCTCTTGAGCATGGAAGCGGGACAAAAAAACGGCGACCGGAAACGGCGAGATAAAACGGCTCCGGGCTTATAGCCGGAACCGGAACCGAACAAAACAAAACGGCGAACCGGAACAGGCCCCAAAACGGCGCGACACAGAGCTGGCAAGAGAGCGGCGAAAAACGGAAGAAGTAACACAAAACGGTCCTGACGCTTCCGCTGAGCAGGGACCGACCGTCCCAGCATTCCCATAGGCCTACCACGACGTGGTCCTCGAACCCCAACGTGTTCGAAAAACAGCAACGAAGCTCTCAGAACAGAAGCCCGACGTGTGAAACCAAGACGGTCCCGGCCAGAAACGTTCAGGTAACACAGGTCCTGCAAACCACAGAACAGGTTCTCGGAACATTCTTCGGGGGGCCTGCGCAGCCGGGTCGCTGAAGAAGGAACCCTCTTCGTTGGGGAGGGGCTCCATGTTCCTTCATTGTTTCGCAGCTTGCCTCGGGCTTTCCGTACGTTTTCGATGGGAAATCGAAGTTTAACTTGTGGAAAAAAAAGGGGCCTCGTTCCTTATTTAGGCTTCCTTAGGTCAACGCCCCGACTGTGAGCAGGCCGGGACGCTTCGCCGCTGCCCGATTCCAGGGCCCCCTACGCCCCGGCGGGCACCCGCAGCACCGAAGGGGGGAGGCCCGGCCAGAGCAGGCCGAGAGGGGCCCCCCGGCGGGCTCCGCGGCCCTCGGCGCTCCCATAGGGCGCCGTTGGCGCGCGGCGGCCCCGCTGCCCGAGGCCCTCGCCCTCGCCCTCGCGCCGTCCTCGTCGTCGACGACGACGTCGTTGTCGTCTTCGTCGTCGTTCTCGGGAGAAGGAGGCATCCTCTTGAGGTCGTCGTCGTCGTCGTCTTCGTCGTCGTCTTCTTCGTCGTCGTCTTCGTCGTCGTTTTCGTCTGAGGCCTCCTGGGCACACTGCTTGACGAACGCCCCCGCCGTGTGGCGGCTTCGGCGGCGGCAGCGCCGCCGGGGCGGCAGCGGCGCCGAGGCAGCAGCGGCGAAGCGCGCCGCCAGCGCTGGCGACGGCAGCGCCGGCGGCGGCGGCGGCGGCGACGGCGGCGACGGCGACGGCCGTGGCGGCGAGGCCGAGTGCGGGTGCCAAGACGACGACGTCGACGACGACGTCGATGACGGCGGGGGGGGGGGCGGAAGAGGCGGTGGGAGGGGAAGGGTGGGAAGAGGGGGGAGGGAGGGGGGGACGGAGGAATGAGGGGAGACGGGCCGGGGTAGAGGGGGGCAGGAGGGAGGTGAACGGGGGGGAGGATGCAAGGGAGAGGGAGGGGCACCAGGGGGGGAAGGGGTGGGGAGGGGGAGAAGGGGGAGGAGGAAGGGGGAGGATGGAGGGGGGCAGGATGAGAGGAAGACGAAGACAGGAGCAGGCAGGGGAGAGATGATGAAGGAGGCGGACAGGGAGAGTTGGGCGACAAGCCCGTAGTGGGAGGAGGTAGTGAAAGAGGTGGCTGACGAGGAGGGGCAGGAGGAGGATGATAACCGAACGAGCGGCGAGGAGGAGGGTACATGTGAAGATCAGCGCGAGGAGGGTGTGGCAAGATGAACGAGTGTCTGCCAGCGCGGTCCCCAAAAAAGTGACAGTCTGCGCAATGGATTTTCGTCGCTGAGACCCGCCCGGGGCCTGGGCCCCGGGGTGCGGGCAAAACTTCTGTCTATATCCACTGCAGTATGGAGTGTCGGGCTCCCTTCCCAAGAAACCCGAGGCGCACTGGATATGGATAAATCTGCCGCCTAGAGGCTCGATTTTTAGCCATATCCAGTGCGCCTCGGCCTTGTGGCGCCGCTTCCAAGAAAGTCCCAAAGGCACCGGATGTGGACATGAATCATGCCCGCACCGGGGGACCGCGGGCCCTGCAGCGTCCAAAGCGCCCAGCGCCCCTGGCCCGGAGGCGGAGGAGCCGCGAGCACTCGGAGGCGCCACGCCTCGCCGCCGCCCGCGGAGAGGGGGCGCGGGCAGGCGGAGGCCGCCGCGGGAGAGGCCGGCGCTCCTCCTCGGCGGGCGGCGGCGGCGGCGGCTGCGGGGAGGGCGGGGGCGGATGCCCGGGGGGGAGGCGCGTCCGCGCGCCCTTCCGCAGGGGCCCCGCCCCTCCTGGACGACGATGTGCGTGCTGGTCTCCTCCAGGATCGGGAGCCGCTGGCCGTTCCCGAGCTCGACCGCGTCGGGGCCGATCCTGAGGCCGGGGGGGCGCCCTCGGGGGTGGGCGGGCGGGCCGCGGGGCGCCCCGCCCTGGCCAGAGGCCGACCCCGGGGCGCAGGAGGGGCCCCCCCCGCAAGGATCGACGAGGCCGGCAAACGTCGCGGGCGTCCTCTTCTTGGCAGGAAGGAGGCAGGCCTGGGAGGAGGCTCTGTCCTGGACTCTGCCCTCGCGGTCGCTGCCCTCCACGGCGCCCTCCGCGGGCCCCTGGGGCCGTCGCGCAGGTGCTCGTCCTATGGGGAAGGCCTCGGGGTCTGAGACCCCCCGCTATTCCTCCAGGACATCTCGCATGATCGGGGGAGCTTCGGGGCGGCCCTCCGCAGGCTCCTGGTGGAAGCAGGCCGGGGGGAGCAGTGTGCCCCGCGGCTGCGCCAGGAGCGGATCGCCCGGAGGGGGGCAGGACGCGTATCCGGGCGCTCCGATCGCCCATGTTTTCGACGAGGCTCACGGGCGGATGCGTAGCCGCTCCTGGGGATGGATCCGCCCGAGGCGCAGCCTCCGCGAGAAGGATGAAGAGGAGGACGGGGGCGGATTCCGGTCCCGACGGCTCGAATAGGGGGTCGACGACAAAATCGGTGTACCCCAAACTTGGCTTTCCGTCGAATCTACGATCGAATGCGTAGAATGCTCTACGGAGCATTCTACGTATTCTTTCGTAGGCTCGACGAACAAATCAGTTTGGGGGTACATCAGTTCTGCAGTCGATCCCCTACTCGAGCGGCATCCTCATCGACAGCGCGCCGCTCTGGTTGACGCCCTGCCAGTCCCCGTAGAACCTCGCGGCGGCCAGCGGGGGGAGTGCGGAGCGGCCGGGGGGGGGCGGGAGCGGCCAGGGCCAGGGGAGAAAGGAGCAGCAGCAGAGGGAACAGCGGAAGCAGCGGGAGCAGGGGGGAGGGGGGCGCGGCAGTGGTCGGCGGGAGGAGCGGGAGAAGAATCATGACGAGAAGGATGGGACAAGATGCTTCACCAAAAAAGGACCCCTGAGCCGTTGGGAGGGGACCTAAGCTGGGAGGGCCACAAATATTAGGGATATGGGATCTCTTCTGCAGATGTATCGAGCCAAACCGCCCAGTTGTATTTTGAAGCTCGCTGAGGGGCAGCGAACGCGATCTGTTTCTGGGGCGACGGGGGAGAGGGCAATGCTTCTGTATGGCAAGGGCAAGCATGAGCAGCCCAATCGTGGGCAAGAGCAAACCTGAAATCAGAGCTTCTCGCGAAGGGCGGCGGTAAGGATTTCTGTTGACCGATCAAGCGCGCCCACCGAGCGTACGGGGATCTGGCCCTGGAAACAACGCTGCCCCCCCAGCAACCTTCAAGTTGTATTATCCATAATGCCGAGAGGAGGACCTCAGTGAGGCCACGTCTTCACTGTGTTATTAGGGTTAGGGGTTCTTCTATCCTCGATGACAAGAGCCGTCGCCGCAGTGACGCGCGTCAGCCACGGAGCTCTACGCAGCGCCGTCGCGCGCTCACACTCCGAAGTGGCAGACGAGGACGTCTTCGCAGGGGCAATGAAGGAAGTCCCAGGAAGGTCTCGCAATGACGATGAAGGGCTTAGAAGGGCTTATACGCCCGATGAAGGGGCCATGAAGCCAGATGCTAGCCGGATTGCGCAAAATTCCTTCTATGCCGGCGTAAACCCGACACAACGGGAATGTGCTGGATGGGGCCAGATTTAGCGGGAGTAAGCCGGGCTCAGTGGGACTGTTCCGGATTAGCATCAGGCGGGCTCGCGACCACGCGGATCTACCAGCGCTAATGCTGAATGAGATCTCCCAGGAGTTGCATCCGCACCTCGGGGTGGAGGTGCCACCTCGGCATGCGCGTGCTATGCGACGGAGGGGCCATCGGCACCGGAGGGCGAGGCCAGAGAGCTCGGAACTGCTGCCGACGGGGGTGCTGGGCGCGCGCCGCTGGGAACCGCGCCGGCCAGGCCGGCCGGCGCAGGCCGGCGCAGTCGCCCCCTGCGGGGGACGGAGTCCTCCTCCTCCTCCTCCTCCTCCTCCTCCTCCTCCTCCTCCTCCTCCTCCTCCTCCTCCTCCTCCTCCCTCTCCTCCTCCTCCTCCTGCTCCTCCTCCTGCTCCTCCTCCTCCTCCTCCTCCTCCTCCTCAGGGACCGACCGTCCCGGCATTCCTATGGGCCTACCACGGAGCTTTCCTAGAACCCAATCGTGTTCTGAGAGCAAACACAGTGCTCTTGGAACATATATGCCCGATGTGTTAAAACAAAACAGTCCCCGCCAGAACTGTTCTGAGGCAAGTTCGTGCAAACCACAACAAAGGTTCCTAATACACTCTTTGGTGGGCCTGTAGGCGAGCCAGGACGCTTCGCCACTGCTTGACGGGGAGCCCCTGCATGGGGCGGGGGGGCCGCGGGGAGAGGTCGCAGATCTGCGGGTGCGGGCGCGGGGCACGCGCCACACCGTGTCATTGCACCGACCTTGCAGACGTGCTGCTGCGGATTTTTGCGTGGATGTCTGTCAATAAAAAGCCCCCGAAAAAGGCGAGCGAAAAACGAGGTGCATTCCACGCGGATTTTTGTGGTCTCCATACCTGGCCACGTAAATCCGCCAGAAAATCACGTCGAGATCCGAAACGAAACTCGCCAGGACAATCCGGGTCCATCTCATTTTTTGAGCAGGGACCGACCGTCCCGGCTTTTCTATAGTCCTACCACGAAATGTTTTTTAGATAAAATCATAAATGTTATACTAACAAAAATATTGCTCTTAGAACATAAACCCCGTGTGCTAAAACAAAACAGACTCCACCAGAAATGTTCTAAGAACATTTCGTGTAAACCAAAAAGATGATTAGAACATTGTTTGGCTGGGCAATAGGCGAACCAAGATGCGTCGCCACTGCTTAATTTTTCCGAGCAAAATCCGCTCTGCGATTTTGGCGCCATGACACTCCGGGAGGCGCGAAGTGGACCAGCAGGCGGCGGCAGCGGATTCCGGAGGGCTGCTGGCGCACACGGGGGAGGGCGGAGTACTCTCGGCGGCTGGCCGGCGCTCGCGGGCGCCCGGTAAGCGTGCTGGTTGGGGCGCGGGCTGGAGCTATGGCAGAGGTCCACCTACCAGACCACCCCAACCCAGCCCGAAGACCCGAGCTTCGGGTTTTGGGGGGGATACGGGTTTCATACGTGTTTTCTCCTATGTTCCCCAACCCCACCCACACTGGGACTGGAGGGCAACTTGGAGTCTTCGGGTTGGGTTGGGGTGAGTTGGTGGGTGGTGAGCAGAGGTCATTTGTCGCAGGTGGAGGAGCTGCGCGGGCTGTCCGGGGGGGGGCGCTGCGGCGAGCGCGTGGGGAGAAATGAAGACGGGCTGGGGCGTATCGGCAGGAATGCAATCCACATCCTCCTGTGGCCACCTCTTGGGAAGCTGGTTCTTACTTCCGCCGGCTTTCGCTCGCCTCCCCTTCATCACTACTCCCCAATCGGTCACTGGAAGTTTCGTGGCGGGCTTCGGTCTCTACCCATGCCAGGCGCACTCTAAAAACCAAAGCCGGATGCCTTGCAGCAAGGGTGCGTGGAGAGGCAAAGCCCAAGAATCTACCCCGACCCCGCCCCGCTCGCACCCCCCCGTCTGCGGGGGTGGCTCTGTGAGGCTTCCGCCGGCGGAGCTGGCCCCGTTTAACTTCCTCTTTTGCCATCACAGCCCCCCTTGGTCAATGGCTCTGGAGGCTTCGTGTGGGGTCAGCTTGTGCCTACCGGTATCTCGGCGCCATTTCTCACTCCGAACGATGCAAGACCCGCAGAGGCACACAGGGCGGACGATCAGCCAGCACAGCTAGTCACAGCTGAACGGAGAGGCCTAGCATCCTGCCCCCGCGCACCCCCGCCTCTGCAGGGGTGGCACGGCGAGGGAAGCCTCCCCGAACCCTCTGGTCCAGGCAGGGCTACGGAACTACACCAAAACAAAAATCGAACCCCGATCCAAGACACTCTCACCTGCCACCAGAAGAGCCAAACAAATCATTGATTAGCCTCTGGTTCGAAGCCCCTGGGTTCCCTGCTCGAGAGATGGGGGGTTCCTCGGGCTCTGCTATTACTACCTCGGGATATCCGACTACTTGCGCGGCTTCTTCCTGCCCTTGCCTGCTGCCCCCCCGCCTCCGCCCCTGCGGAAGGCCAGGCGCTCCACCTGCTTGTCGGCGCGGTCCTTGCCCAGCTGGAGGCGGATCGCCTTTAGGCATCCGTTGGACCTCACGATGTCGAACGAGGTCTTGAGCTCGGGGTGCGAATTCATCGCAAAGAACCATTTCACGCACTCGACGTCGCTGCCTGGGCTCTCCTTCGTCTCGATAAAGAAGCATCTCGTGGCCTGGACCACTGCCTCCTTTGTGCTGGCCCTCTCCCCCCGCGTCGCCAGCATCGCCAAGGCGTGCTTGGTGCTGATCGGGTCCAGCCCCTGCTCCGCGGCCTGCTCGACCGCGTCCTTGCCCCGCCTGATGGCTTCCATCACCCTGAAGAGGAGGCACTTGAGGTAGGCGTCTGGCCTCTTTCCGAGCGGGTTGCCGCGGAAGGCGCCCTCCTCGGCCTCCTCTCGAGCTTTCTCCCCTGCCTCGGCGTATCGCATCGTGCCCACCTCCGGCGCCTTGGCGATCGGGTTCGGGGACCTCATCATGATCACGAAGCTGTCATCGCGCGCTGCTCCTCGGAGTGTGTCTTCGTGCTGCAGCGCCAGGCGGGCGATGGCTGTCTGCAACTGCTTGTTCATCGTGCCCTCGCCCTCTGCGTCCTTCGGGTCCTTCTGCCTCCTCCTTCTCCTCTCGGGGTCTCGTCGCGCCCTTGGTGATCGTCCCGAGCGGCTCGAACATCGCTTGGTCCAGCACTGTGGTCGGCACCTGATGAACTGGGAACGGGTTGGGCCGACTGCTGTCCTCGAGTCACGTGGTACCAGTGGAGAAGACGACGTTGGAGAGAGTCCTTTCTGGTGAAAGAAGTACTGCAACGTGGACATACCCAACGTTTAAGATGCTCCTCTGGTGCAGCTACAACGTTAGGCTCAATCTCATGCACTCGCGGTCTGTGGTTCAAAAGACCCTTGTGGCCCCGACGCTCTTTCCCACAATCGGGACACCGAAGTACTTGGATTTCGATACCTTCACCGCCCTCGCCACCAGGTCGATCATCACTCGGGGCCGAGAACGACAGCACGGAACGGAGGGCCTTGACGGAGGTCTCGTGGAGCCAGACGGGCCACTTGGGGTGCACTGTGGGAGCTCTCGATGGGGTATCTGGTACTTCTGGTTCGGCCGAAGACTTCCATAGGGTAGTCAGGTCCTCCTTTAGCAGCAACAGTCGAGCAGTAGGTTCCTGGAGGGAGGAGGCCTCGAACAACAGCCTGCCGAATACAACTGCTCTCACCATTTTACTCGGGACGTTGGTTCAATAACCTGTTTCCACCCTGACTTCTGAATGGGAGGGTAGAGGTCACGCCCGATAGGTTCGCCTTCTCCCTGATCCCCTCGTTCGGAACGTGTTTAAGATGGGCTGATGAACGGAGGAGGTGTCGAAGGCGCCTGTTTTGCCAACGCTCAAGTCGCGCGACTTCTGAATTAGTCAGTACAACCACTTCCGTGGAAAAGGGAGCCACTGAACGCACCAGCGAGCACCACAAACGAATTCTCAGCCGCATGCCAATGTTGCTGCGGATGATGCGTTGCGCCAGTCTGCCGTGGGCAAGGCTCGCACTCTGCAGGCTAGCAGCGACCTCCTCTCGCATGGTGCCTTGAACAGAAGAGCGCGCTCCTAAATACTTGACATGCGGGAGTGCGTGCTGGGCAAGAAACATACCGTCAGCTTCGCGAAAGGGAACTCCTGTTTGATTACTCTTGACCACTCGTCTAAATCGTTTACATCCTCCTCCAGCTACTCCTATCCTCATCTCCGTCTTGGGCGTGATGAGTTTCATACCTCTCGACTCTATTTCCGTCCTCAAGAAGTTCAAGGAACCCGTGACTTCATCAAAGGAGTGGGCGACCGTCATTGCGATCAAGTCGTCAACAAATTTTACTTCCGAAACATTCATCAGTTGGTGCACCTGCTCGCTCAAAGCGCCCGTGCACCGCAAGATGTGGAGGGCAGGATCGAAGACGACTTGGACCCCTGGGAAACCTTTTTTCGATATACCCTCGGAACCCTTCGAAATTATCATGTCGTAGATCGCGATAAATAGGCTTGGGCCTTCCACTGAGCCCTGACGCACCCCTTTCCCCACCAGGAGCTTACGAACGGGTTGGTTGGTACGAGGGTCCATGATAATATAGCATGTCCCATTGTGTATTTCCCCGATGCAGAAACGGACGCCTCTGGACATAGATCACTGCTCAAGGGCCACCCAAATCTGGCCCCGAGGTCAAAGGTCGAACGCCTTTTCCAGATCCAGCAGGATAACGGCAAGAAAACGAGCGGGCTGCTTAGATCGCCGTTCGCATCCGTGGAAGCGGCGCGCAGGATCTCGTCGACCACCACTACAGCACCTCGTGTCGAGCGGCCTTGTAGGGCTCCGAACTGCGTGCTAGAATGAGAGGCCCCCAAACGCCGCAGCGTCGGCATGGAAACAGTGTTGGCGTAGGCCTTGCCCATGTGGCCGATGAGATTAATTGTTCCATAATGGTCCTTCGTATTGGTCCTGTCTCTCTTGGGTTTTCTGATGCTAACCGTCTCACCGCTTTTAAAGATCTGAGCAGCTCGGCCGTAAACCTGGCATGATTTGAAAACGGCCGTCATTGGGCCTTTGATCACTGGGCTGGTAAGTTCCCAAAGTTCCGCAACGGCACCTTCTCCTTCGGGTCGGGGGGCGATCGGCGTCCAATGCTCGGGGTCGTGCCATTTCAACGTGGGGCCTCTCTGGGAGCCCGGGAGCTTCCAGATCACATCTTCCACATCATCCTCTGTGAAATCGCCTTCCAGGGAAACGTCGGGGTCGTTTGGCTCCTGAGGGCCCGTTTTACTCCCGCCGGCTTCCGCCGCCGTCCGCCGAGGAAGAGGCGCCAACTCCTCCGAGCCTCGAAGGCGAGCTCCTCTCGGGAAGGCCTCGTGCGTCCAGGAGCTTCCCGACGTTCCCGCCCTCGGCCCAGGGGCCGTGGGACACACAAATAAATACACACAAATAACCATATTCCCTATATGTTCCAATATTTTTTTGGGTTTCTGTCTTCCCCCCATTTCCCATATTTTCCAATATTTTCTTGGGAATCGGCGATGAATTGTGTCTCTGTGTTTTTTCCCCTCCTGAGGAGCACCCTGCCAGGCCTCCCGAGAGCCCCGGAGCCCACGGCAGGCCCGTGCGACGCCGCTGGCCGCTTCACGCTGCTGGGCCCACCCTCTAGACAAAAGCGTACGCGCTGCAGCACCGTCGTGTTTTTCCTTCTTGCGCTGCGGCACGACCGCTCGATGCGCGTGTGTGTGCGTGTGTGTGCGTGTGTGCGTGCGTGCGTGCGTGTGCGTGTGAGAGAGAAACAAAGAGAGAGAGAGAGAGAGAGAGAGAAGATGAATTACTCCTTGCCGTCGCTCGGACGTCCATTCCCCGTGCATTCGTCGGCCTCTCGCCCGCCTTTGGCCCCACAAGGCGTTTTTGGAGGGTCCACGCCGAGGAAAACGTGCACACGTCCGAGCGCTGCCAGGGCCCTGGGGCTGCGGCTATCGAGTGCTCCTCCTGCTGCTCCCCGCCCTCCCCACCTCCGCCTGCCCCCTGACAGCCGGGGTGGACCGGAGAGGACACGCGAGAGGACACGAGGCTCTCCCGATGGCCACACCGCCAGTGGAACGTAGGGGGGCACGGGTCGCGAAGCACAGGGCACAAGGGTACCCTTGTTCGGGCAGGGTCGACCTACTACAGTCGGGGCGTTGACCTAAGGAACCCTAAATAAGGAACGAGGCCCCTTTTCCCCATAAGTTAAACTTCGATTTCCCATGGAAAACCCAACGCAAACTGTAAAACAATCAAGGAACACCGAGCCCCTCGCCAACGAAAAGGGTTCCTTCTTCAGGGCCCCGACTGTAATCAAACTCGACTGCATCTCCTCTTCCTTCCCCCTCGCCCCCCCAATCCGCACCGCCGCTGCGGGCATCCGCGGGGAGCAGGCGCGGAGAGCCAGTTCTTCCTCGTCCCCGGCTCGTTCTTGAGCCACGCGATCCTGCAGGCTCGCGGGCCCTCCGCCGCCGACACCCTCCCGCCTGTCCTTCTTCTTGGACGAAGAATTTAAAGATACCCCCCAAAATAATCCCAAAAAGCTCCCAAATGGTAAAACAACCGTCCCCAGACTACTGTTTGACTATTTTTGCATGTTCCTCCTCTAGAGGGACGTGCCCGACTTAAAACCAGAGGCCTCCTAGATGGGGTCCGAGTGGGTGGGGTCGGAGGATCGCGCCGCATCGCCGGTGCATCGGCGACGCATCGGGGATGCACCGGCGAGACATCGTCGACGTCGGCGATGCGTCGGCGACGTCGACGTGAAGCAGATCGGGCCCCACATCGAGCCGCATCGGCGATGCATCGGCGATGCGGCGCGATCCTCCGACCCCACCCGGGAGGCCCAGAAAGTCGCGGGCTGGAGCCGACGCCTGCCCAGCTGATGTTAGAAGAGGGCAGGCTCCTGGGCTCGGCGAGGCTCCCACGCCCCCCCCCCCCCCCCCCCGAGCTTCCCCCTGCCGACGAGGACTAAAAGCGATATGAGGACACCTCGAGAAGCTCTGAGGTCCGGCGGCTCTGGAGGCTGTCTTGGGAGCCGCGGCCTTCTCCGAGCGTTCCGGAGCGCCCTGGAAGCGCTCCAGAACTCTCTGGAACGGATTCGCCTTCGACCTGGCCCCGTCCGACCCCCCTCCCCCTCGACGTGCCGCCGTTCCTCCTCCTCGTCCTCCTCATCCTTCCCGTCCTTCTCCTCCTCCTCCTCCTCCTCCTCCTCCTCCTCCTCTTCCTCGTCCTCCTCCGTGGAACGGATTCATCCACGTCCTGGCCCCGCCCAAATGCTGCTGAGTTTGTCCCCCCTGCCTACCCCCTGACGTTCGTGCGCTCACGCGTATGGTGCACACTGGCCGAGATGGGGATGGGACAGATCTCGGGACAAGGCCAGGCACAACAAAAACTGACCTCGAAGGGCTTGCTCGGAGCGAGCGTGAACGCGCCCATGAAAAATTAGGGGGAAACAAAAGAACGGCACAAGATGCAAGACTGGCGATATCGATATGATTGATCCTGCTGTATGACCAACGATACTGCCGTTTGACAAAGCAATCCCGTCACATCGTGTTTCCTCTCGCGTGGAAGTATAAGTGACAACGCCTGGCAATCGCGTGTCCATGGCAACACAGACTTTTCTTGGGAAGGCGACAAGCCCACCACAAACACCAGGGGGGTGCAACATGTACGGCTCTGCGAGATGCAAATGCACAAGGTGCTCCGCGAAAACGCCGATTTGTTCTGCCCGCCAGTCCAGCGTGTGAGCGTTTCAGAAAGCCTAGGCTACAGCCTACAGCCTGAGCTTCAGCTCTGCTGGGCGGGGGTTGCAGGGGTGGCTCTGCTGGGAACGGGGGATAGGGGGGTCATGCTCCGCCTGAGACCGTTTTCTGGGCGGGGGGCTGGGACACAACAAATCTCCAAATTCCCAACCCGGAGGCCAAAGAGCCAAAGATAGCCGCCAAAAATTTCCCAGACGGCTCAAGATGCACCCAAGATGGCCCAGGATGTCCTCAAGTTGGCCCAAGAGCGCCCCAAGAGGCCTCCGAGACGGCCACAAAGGCCTCTAAGAGGTCCTCCAGGAAGGCCCGAAGAAACCCAAATCATGGATTTCTATACGGAAAAAGTTGGGCGCTTCATTATTTCCCTGCCGTCCGACGGCCCAAGACGGCCCCAGAGGCCCCCGGCCCCCAAGACGGCCCCAAAGGCCTCCAAGATGGCCCCATAACGGCCCAAGAGGCTCCTAAGACGGCCCCAAGAGGGTCCCCAGAAGGCCCCATAGGCCTCCAAGACGGCCAAGATGGCCTCCAAAACAACCCTGAAGAGCCCCAAAAGGCTCCCAGACGGCGCAGCGAGGCGCCCAAGGCGGCTTCCGACAGCGTCCGACAGACCAGAAACGCCCTAAGATAGCCAAACAGACTTCTAAGCATCCCCGCAGAGGCTAAAAGACACCCTCAGGAGGCCTCCTCCCACGACGGCCCCAAGAGGCCCCAAGACGGCCTCGTAGGCCTCCAAGCGAACCCGAGCACCATCGGGAGTGCCCCGGATCGGCGGCACTGGATGGAGGCCCATAATATCTACAGGTGTATATATATATATATATACATATATATATATATACACATACATACATATATTGATTGATTGATTGATTGATTGCGACGCTCTCCAATAGGAACACTCTGGAGTGTTTTCCAAGGGATTCCTGTAGTGAGGCTTTCGAATCGAATCCTTTTGTGTTGCTTTCGAAAAGATCCTTGGTGTGACCCTTGACAATAAGAGCCCTCGGTGAGGCTTCCCAAACGATTTTTCATGATTTTCCATCGAATCCTTTCGAAGCGCTTTCTGATATGTTTCCTTGTGTTGCATGTTCCTGCTTTTTCTTTTTTCCCCGTATCCAGCCCCTCAGATGAATAGTTTTGGAGGGGGGCGACCATCAATTTACGGGGGATGGGTGAGCCTACTGGGGGAAATCTGCTTTCCCTCGTTCACGTCGCCCTTCTCGACTCGGCCCACGCACCCCTTGTTCGATGCTTCCTGGCGTCCAGGTAGCGTCCACCTCCTGCTCCTCCTTGCATGGCTACCCCCCCGCCACCCCTCTCTCCCCCAATTGCCCCTGGAACGTTATTTTTTTTTTGTTTTGCTGCTCGTCCGCGGCTCCGCACGATCTTGTCCTGCCGCAGGCGGCCCCACGCGCCCCACGCCCCCAGCGCCGCCCCGGCGGAGAGTTGCAGACTGAGGTCGGGGGGGGGGGGGAAGGGGCGCGGCGAAGCGGTCGTGCGGCCCGAGGGGGGCAGCGCGGTGTCCCCCAAGGCCCCAACGGCGCGGATCGCAAAAACCGCGCAGCGGCGTAGCACACCCAGCGTAGTCGCCGAGTAACCACCGCCTGTGGAACGTCTCCTGGTACCGAGGCCCATCCGCCGCATTTTGTGGTTCATATCAGGGTTCGACCTAAACAGTGTTGTTAGTTTTCGTGTTGTTTCCGTTGTCCCTCGTTTTGTAGTCAATCCGCCGTTGCTGTAAAGCGAACTCGAATCGAACACGGCCCACGAAATCGCCACCAAAACACCGTTTCGGTCCACCCCTGTTTCGTATTCGAATTCCCCAGTCACGCCCTTGCGGATTCATGTCCACGACCCTCGGTCGTCGCAATCTGTTTCAGATACGCTCTTTCGCACATCGGCCGTCCCCAGCGCGTCCCCTGTCCGCGCCCATCCTCCCGCCGGGCCGCTCTCGCCGTGGCTCTCTCCCAGGTGCTCGTTCTCTGGCCCACGCTGTAACTACCATTGCACTGCGCCGCCTCCCCCATCCCTCCAACAGATCAGCATTTGGCGCACATTCTCTGGGACTGCAGCGTCCATGGTTGGTGCCCATGCGCTCAACATTGGAGACGTCGTGCCAGATGTCCCGCCTACGTCGCTCGCAAGTGCCAGCCAGCTTGCCATGGGACTCCTCATCACCACAAGGTCCCAGTAAGCCATCGGGCCTGCCAGGACTCCCGCCCGCATGGCCCTTGGCATTCCGCCCCTATTGGGGGGCTCTGTAACACGTTTTGCTACCACTTCTTGCCATGCTGTGCGATGCTGGTATTTGGCATCTTGCGTGGCGGTGGTGGAAACGGTGCTATCGGCCGCAGCGGTGATGATCATATATGATGCGAGTGTGGTCATGAAGTTGCCATATGGCGACCTGGGATAACTGATTCGAGATCCTTCCTGATCTGAGTGGGCAACAGTTGGTCAACGCGCGTGTCGTTTCTAAGTTCTAGACGCGCCCTCCTTATACCTGCCAGCAAGTGTTGTCACGGCACAGTACGTTAAGGTACGCTCATGCACGATGTATCGATATATGTAGGTGTAACCCTTCAGTGGTGATGCGGGATTGAAGCGGCAACGTTGATGCAACGATCTGATTAACTATGCTGACGCTCAGGGGCTGAGGATGAGAACGTTGTGGCGATGGCTCAAGGATTCAAAACCGACGATTCGCACTGGCGCCTCTTCAGATCTTCGTGGATCGTCCTATCCTTGCCCTGCCTGACCCACCACCAACAGACCCGACCAACCGCACAGCCAACCGATCCCCCCCATCTGCACAAGCACGCGAACACTGCACTCGGATGACACCCTCAAGCACATCAGGATAAGCCGCTCATTCCTGCAATGATGCGTTCAGCGGTGGGCGGGTCTGCCTCTCCCATCTCGGTGCAGGCATACTTTCATTTGAGGCCTGGAAATTGGCACCAACACTAACACAGTGCGTTGCCTCCACAGGGGGAAGACGATCCCAGATTTCGGTGTTGGTGGTAATATTTCGGCCACATTGGAAGCCAGAATATTACCACCATCACCGAGATCGGCATCTTCTTCCCTCGGTGAATGCACACCGCCGATATTGGTGTTGGTGTCAATCTCTAGGCCTGCGATTTCATGCATCCATGCCAGTTTCTCCCGGTCTTTCTCCTGGCGGTCATGCCTGCCGACAGGCCCAGGCTTCCTGCACACCCTCCTCCCCCTGCGAGCACTGCGAGCGGCTGGGTCTCCTGCCCGCCTGCTCGACGTCGCCGCCCCCGAGCATGCTGAAGGTGTACGCCGCGCTGGTCTTCCCGTCCCTGGGCTGTGGGGGTAGGTCCTCCTCCTCCTCCTCCTCCTCCTCCTCCTCCTCCTCCTCCTCCTCCTGGGGACACGGATCTTCCACACCACGCCCACAGACCAACAAGTCCGGCACAAGACGATCGTGGACCGGAGACTTGCACACAAAAGCGGCCTCCCCCGGCGACGCGAGTTCTGAACATCACCCCCGCACGCAGACAGCAGGCTGGCCTGGCGCACGGCACGCGCACGGGGGCGGCGGCCACACATTGGCCCCCGAGAGGAAGCCTTTCAGGGCCCCACAAACCTGGACACGCTGGACCAGGACATACAACATCACTCGAAACAATGTTTCCCATATAGACCCGGACGACGGCGACCAAGCCCTAAACGCTTGCGCACCCCCCCATATAGACCCGGACGACGACCCGAAACCTGCAGCGCAGCAGACGAAAACACTGCAGCGGACAACCAAACCTGACCCTGCAGTAAAGGGTGTCGCTTCCCCGACTTGCCAGTGTCCTGGTTAGTCTGTTGGGGACACCAAAAGGTACCGATACCGCTACTCCCCGGGCCGTTCCCCGGGTGCGTTCTGACCAAGATTTCGAGGCGACCCCAGCGGTGGTGACGAGGGCCTCCCAGGAGGCCCAAAAAGGGGAGAACGGGCGGTGGGGTAGAGGTACGGTAGAGGGAAACAAGTAGTGACCCCCCCCCCTGCCCCCCAAACTCAAGGTTGGCACGCGCGGGGGAGACTGCGGTCGAGGTGCCACTCATCAGACCCACCGCCAACTTTGAACACTGGGGGGAGGGGGAGGCGTTCACAGATGAATGTGGCACGAGTGCTCGCGATTTTTTCCGAGGCCTGTAATTATGGGTACCTTTTCCTCTTATGATCTGTGTCCTGGTCCTGGTCTCTGGGGGCCCGAGCCTTGGCCACAGTCCGAGCGGGCGGCTCCCCCCTGACCTTCCAGAGAGCTATTTTTTAGCACTGGAAACTTAAAACCTAAACAAAAACCGAAACAGCCTAAAACCAAGATGTAGAATAGCTGTGTGATGGGTTTTTAAGTCAGGTGCTATTTTTTAGCCCTCCTGGAAGGTCAGGGTCGGTGGCAACTACCGGCGGTGGACAAACCTCACTTTAGCAGACCTCCCCTGAGTGAAAGCGGCCTGGGACCGAAACCGACGGACCTGGACCAGCAGACACGACGGCCGCGACGCCCTCTCGCGAACCGAAAACGGCCAATTCCTGAATCGACGTGTCAGGGTAGCAGGTCTGTCCACCCCCGAAACTACCAGGAGGTGTTCGTCGGATTGGCGAAGGAGGATTAAGCCCCACTGGGGGGCTGCTGCGCCGGATTCGGAAGCGAGGATAAGCGGGGTCCAGCGGGATGCAGCCGGATGGAGCCAAATCCAGCCGAGTGAAGCGGGATGAAACCAGATCAAGCACTTTGTGGGCCCGGGAAACGGCAGGGCCGCTTTTTTACCGTTTCCAAAAAAATGTCCTTCGCAAATGGAAACGGCAAAAAACAGCGACCGGAAACGGCAAAATAACAGCTCCAAGATTGGAACCGGAGCCGGAACCGGTCAAAAAACGGCGACGGAACCGGTAAAAAAACGGCGTCGGAACCGGCAAAAAAACGGCAAAACGGAACCCGCAAAAAAACGGCCCTGTCGTTTTTCCAGGGCCCACTAAGATCAAGCATGCCAGATTTCGGACCAGGGCAGAGACAGACTTTGGCCCCCCAGGAGTTGCCTCCGAACTCCAGAGGCGCCAAGGCATGGCCGCCTCCAAGGCCGCCCCCCCGGCAAGGCCCGAGTGGCAGGCGAACCATGCGGCCGGGGAGATCCGCGTGTCGTCGCGGCGGCGGCCCCGGCGACACGCGATGCCCTGCAAGCGGACATCGCTCCGCTCCGCGTGGAGGGACGTTGACGCTTCCTTGACCTTAGGAGGGCTAAAAAATAGCACCCGACTTAAAAACCTATCCTAAAGCTATTCTACGTCTTGGTTTTAGGCTGTTTCGCTCAGCTTTTTAGGTTTTTAGGTTTCTAGTGCTAAAAAAATAGCTCTCTGGAAGGTCAGGGTTGGGGACGGGGACGTGTGTGGAGTGTCGCGCCGAAGCGCGGTGGGCCAGAACCGGTGGTTTGCGGCACGCGGAGCACAAACGTTGCAGGACGGAAGCCGCGCCCCTGGCGACGGGAACACCTCCTGCGCGGGTCTCCTGGAGCCCTCCGACCTCCTCCCTCGCGTGGGCTCCGCCTCGTGCGCTGGGTTCCATGATGGACGCCTCCCTCCGCCTCGCCCTCCCCCTCCCCCCCTTGCCCCCCTCCCCCCGCCTCCCTTTCCCCCTCCCCCTCCTCCCTTTCCCCCTTCCCCCCCCCCCTCCCGCCCTGCTCCCCTCCCCTCGGGGCTCCCCTCCGGGGTGCCGCCAGCCGCCCCTGCGGCGCAGACCCGTGCGCCCCCCGCGGGGTCGCTGGCGCTCGCGGCGGGGGGCGGCCTGCCCCGCGGATCTCCCCCGCGCCGCAGTGCGCCGTCCGAGGACGGAGCCGACCCCCCCCCAGCCCTCCCCCCAGCATCCCTCCCCCCGATCTCGTCTTCTCCCCTCCTCTCCTCCCCCCCCCCCACAAGCAAACCGCATCCACACTGTGGATTCTCCCTCCTCCCCCGAGGTTGTCCGCAAGATCTCCAGCCCCTGCGCGCATGTTTTTTTTTTTTTACACACACACACACACAGGGCTTCAAGCGCCGATCTCCCTCACGGTTGTTTTGGCAATCCGACGGTTTTCGGTTTCAAAATCGTGCTCCCGCTGCAGCGTGCGTCGCAGTTTCGGATCGGCGCGGTGATCCCGTCGTTCGGAATGGCGCTCTCGCCCCCGCGCGGGGCACTTTTCTGGATCCGAGTCTTGCTTCATTGTGCCCCCCCTTCAAATTCCCCTCCTCCGCCTTCCCCTGGCCCTCGTGTCCCTCCCGCTCCCTCCACCTCGGTTCCTGCTGACTCCGAGTTTATGTTTGTCGTTGTCGCCCTCCTCATCTCCCCCTCTCCGCCATCCCCTGGTCCCCCTGTTCCTCCCGGTCCTTCCGCTTCAGTTCCTGCTGCTGCTGTTCGCCCTCGTCCTTTTCCTCCCGCTCATCGTCCTGCTCACCCGCCACCTCCTCCGCCAATGAACTCTGCTGCTCCGCTTGTTTCCGACGGAGTGGCCTTTCTGTGGGAGTCGCAGGTCGGCTAAGAGAGAAGACTCAGCGCCATGGGAAGGGACGGGAGGGAGGGAGGGATAGGATGACAGATGAGGCGCGAGCGCACCTAGCTTGTCTTCCTCTTCCTCTCCCCCCTCCTCACCTCCGCCTCCTGCCCTCTCCTTCTCCCCCTGCCCCTCTGCCCCCTCCCCCCCTTCATCGTCATGATCCCACGCTCGCCAACCCCTATGCTCCTCATCCTCTTCCGTCCTCCCTCCAACTCCCTGCTCCTCATCCTCATCCCCAACCCATCTTCATCCCCATCCTCCGCATCATCATCCACATCCCCTGCCCGTCCTCCTCCCCATCCTCCTCGTCCTCATCTCCTCCTCCTCCTCCTCCTCCTCCTCCTCCTCCTCCTCCTCCTCCTCTTCCACCTCCTCCTGCCCAGCCTAATCACATCGCGCCCGACTCAAGCTCTCAAGGCCCCGCAGGGGATCCCGAGGGACATCGCCGGGGGATCCGGTCCCCTCTCTCGGCGTCATGCCTCCGAGTCCCTGAAGCCTAGCACTGCAACGCATCCCACCCAGTCTTCATGTCCCGCCCACGTGCCCCGTCATCTTCCCCCCCAAGCACGAGCCATTCCCCAGGATCCTCTTTTCCTCGTGGGTCGTTCTGCGGACGGCCCCGAGGCCCAGGAAAGGCCCCCCAGAGGCCGAGAATCCTCCCACGCCTCCCGCCGCGTTCTTTCATGACCCGAGGGCGTGTGGGAAAGCTCTGCTGCATCTTCGGGGGACCTTGTCTGTCCCGTCGCACTGCCCGCACCGCCCGCACTGTGGCTGCTGGCTCCCCCTCTGGGTGTACTGCGACGCCGACCCGCGGCTGCTGCCAGGGGCGACCCTTCAGCCTGGCCGCGCCCGCGCACCCGCCGCAGCCTCGCTGCGTGAGTGTGCCCCCGCGCCCTGCTCCCCTCTCCGCGGCCGCCATCCCTCCTCCCCCCCCCCCTCCGGCATGCAGGGCGGGCTAATTCGCGATGCCGTGCCCCAATCTCGCCCAGACGCGAGTGCGGATGGCCTCTGCCGCGCTGCGACGGAAAACAACTGTCCCGTCGCGCCCCTACCCGCGTCGAGTCCGTGTCGAATCCATGTTGGACTCGTCCAATCTGCGTCGAATCCACGTCGAATCCGAGTCGAATCCGCGCCAAATCCGCGACGAGTCCGCATCGAGCCCGCGTAGGGCACAAGAGAAGACACCAATTCGGTGGGACAGAGGAGCTCCCCCGACAACGCATCGTAAGGAAAGGTGTTCAGTCCGAGCGGCGGCGGCGGGACCGAATGCATCCACCTTCTGGCCCGAATGCGTTATCCTCCCCCTGCTCCTCCTCCGCCTGCTCCTGCGCACGCCCCCCCCCATCCTCCTGCTCCTGCTCATCCCGCCCCACCCTGCTCCGGGATTGCTTCATTCCAAGCATGTCTCTCTCCTGCTTCACCTTCGCCTCCTCCTCCTCCTCCTCCTCCTCATCCTCCTCCTCCTCCTCTTCCTCCTCCTCCTCCTCCTCCTCCTCCTCGTCTTACTCCTCCTCCTCCTCCTCCTCCTCCTCCTCCTCCTCCTCCTCCTCCTCCTCTCCTCCTCCTCCTCCTCCTCCTCCTCCTCCTCCTCCTCCTCCTCCTCCTCCTCCTCCTCCTCCTCTTACTCCTTCTCCTCCTCCGCCTCCTCCTCCTCATTTCTCCCCTCCTGTCCTCCTCTCCATCCTCCCGCACTTGCCCCCCCCCCCCTCCTCATTGTCCTCCCGCTCCCGCGCCTCATCCTGCACACCCTCCCCCCCCCTTCTCCTGCTCCCCCTCCTCCTGCCCCTCCCCACCCCTTCCTCCATCATCTCCTTGCCTCGTGCCTCCTCCCTCGCACCAGACATCCGACGACGTGACCTTTTCAACTAGCGGGCCCCGGCCTCCCGACAAATTGCCCCGGGGGAAATGCCCGGCCTGGATGCGTGTTAGGTCTCGGGGCAAGGCAACTCGGGAGCCTACAAACGACGTACGTGCCCAAGCACGTACATGCATACGGTCCCCCAGTCAGCGAGACCAGCCTCGTAATACCAACGTTTCGAAGCGAGCGTGGGTGCATGTACGTATACGTCCTTCTCACGCTCCTGAGAAAATGGCCCTGGAGGACAAACAGGCAAAAGCCGTCTGGACTTAACGTTCAGATCGGCACGGCGGAATCCGCCGACCCCTTGGTCATCATCGGCGTGTGAGATGCTTCCCCCTCCCCAAACCCCTCCCCCTGGAGCCCGGTCCGGTCGAATTGAAGGGGAGGGCCTTCCCGGACTCTTTCTTCAGGTCCACGACAGCTTCTGGGGCCGCCCAAGAAGCCCCCAAGACGGTCCAAGAGGGCCCCGACGCCCAGGACGGCCCCAAGACGGCCTCAGAAACCTCCCAGACGGCCCAGGAGCCCCCGAGAGCATGCCTAAGAGGGGCCCAAGAGGCCAAAATTGACAAACCCCTATGGGAAAACCTACATCTTTATCATGCACGTTTTTTCGCCCTTCACGGCGTTGAAGACGGCGCCGGAGTCCCCCAAGACTGCCCCAAAACGGCTCGACAGGTTGCCAAGAGGCGCTCGGAACGGCCCCAGAGGGCGCCAAGACGGCCCAAGAGGCTCCCAAGACGGGCCAAGAGTGCCCCAAGACGGCCCAATGAGGGGCTCAAGAGGAGGAGCCTGAATCAACAATCCGAGCCTTCCGCCCCAAAACGGCCCCACGGAGGCCCAAGGGGCGCTGAAAAGGGCCCATGGGGCCCCCAAGAGGCCCCCCAAGAGGCCCCAAGAGGCCGCCAAGAGGCCCCCCAAGAGGCCCCAAGAGGCCGCCAAGAAGCTCAAAAGAAGCCCCTAGTACCACTCGAGGCATGCAACTTCTAACCCGCAGCCCAGGCACCAAGGATCTCAGGCCGGCGACCAAGGCACGGTGGCAGGATGGGCCGAAGGCCACTATATATCCGCCGCCCCCTGCTTGCAGGGGTGCACGGCGTGCTGGACGTTTCAGGTTTTGGTTTTGGTTCTTTTTCTAAAAGAACTCCCCAGTGGGCTTCGGCCCGTCCCGCCGGCCACCCGTAATTTTCCCAAAATCCGTCTGTCAATGCCTTTGTTGCCCCAACTTGGCCCAAGATGGCCTCCAAGACGGCCAAGATGGCCCAAGATGGCCTCCAAGATGCCTCCCAGACGGCCAAGATGGCCTCCAAGACGGGTAAGATGGCTCCAAGATGCCTCCAAGACGGCCCAAGATGCCCTCCAAGACGGCCAAGATGGCCCCAAGATGCCTCCAAGATGGCCCAAGAGGCCTCCAAGACGTTCTCCAGGAGAGCCCGAAGAGGCCAAAATCATTGGTTTTCCTTAGGTTTTTGAAGGTTTTTTGCGTTTTCTTCTTTTCGGCCTTCCGACGGCCCAAGAGGCCCCCAAGATCGCCCAAGAGGCCTCCAAGAAGGCCCTATGACGGCCCAAGGGCCCCCCAAGACGGCCCCAAGAGCGCCCCAAGACGGCCCAAGAGGCCTCCAAGACGCCCAACATGGCCTCCAAGACGGCCCTGAAGCGCCCCAAGAGGGCCCCAAGACGGCCCAGAGAGGCCCCCAAGACGGCTCCAGACGGCGTCAGACGGACCAGGAACGCCCTAAGACGGCCAAAGAGACCCCCAGGAAGCCCCCAAAGGCCCCCAAGAGGCCCAAGGAGGCCCCCAAGATGCCTCCAAGAGGCCTCGAAGAGGCCCCCAAGAAGCCCCCAACAGACCCCAAGGGTGCCCCAAGAGACTCCTAACAACCCTCATCCTCCTACTCTATTTCTTCCTCTTCCTCTTCCTGTTCATAATCATTCTCTCCCATGTGTTCCCCGAAAGCTTTCCAAACCGACTCGGGGAACTCATGGTCCGATAGCTTGGCCAAGCTCTAGTCCAACTTTCGGCCACATCGGCGTTTCCAAAAAGGCAGGGGGCGGCGGTGATTCGCCGTAGGCGTCTTCGATATATATATATATATATATATAGATATATCCCTCGTGGCTCATATATGTGTATAAGTGTATATATATGTACATGCATAAATATACATACATACATATATATATGTATGTATGTATATATATGAAATGCCGCGGGCATCGACCTCAATCGAGAAGAAGAAAAGAACTAGAAGGACGAGGAGGAGGAGGAAGAGGAGGAGGAAGAGGGGGAACAAACAAAAGAATCGTCGTCGCCGCCGATGTCTCACAGAAGTTCGTGGTTTTTCGACCACCCGAAGCATCTCCTCGAATTCGGCCTCCAGGAACCGTTTTCGGTGCCGGGGACCACCGCCGAAAGTCCGGGCTGAGAATCGACCTCCCTGGCAGGTGCCACCCCTTCGCAAAGGAAGGAACACGGGGTGGATCGAGGCTCGAGGCATGAGACTCCTAGTTCTTGGGCGCTCTCCGCCCCCTCTGGGCCTTCAGGAAGCTCCTCGTCGACACAGCTGGATCCACTCTCGAACTTCTGGCCGGACGCAACCCCAGCTGGGTCTCAACGATCCCCGAGCCTATCCAGGAGGGGGAAAATGAGGCCTGGGACAGGCCCGGTGAAGGCCCCAATAAACTCACATAAGACCACGAAAAACTTCCAGACAATCCCCTACAAGGCCCCCCTTGAACCCCACACGCTACGTAGGACAGGCCGAAACCCCAAGATTGCCCAGCGATCGCGCGCGTTCCGCGAATTCTGTCTTTCACTCTTGCTGCCGCCACAAGGGGTCGGCGGTGCGGCGTAAGCCAATGAATCAGCCGAACACGAGTCCCCGACTCTCCCGCTGACCACCCTGGCCGTTATTTTGTCGAGCCGCGCCCCAGCTGTGACGGGGAAAACCTCCAAAGCGCCATGCCACGCGGCTTGCTTCGTCGACGAGAGGCGCAGGCCGCGACGTGCGCCGCGTCCCACTCCTGCCAGGCAGCTTGCATCACCTGCGACCTAAGCATCGCCCAGACCTTCCAGGGGCCCACCCTGGGCAGCGCTTCGAGGCGCGCCCGAGCAACGACGGCGAGAACCTCCGGAAGCGCGCCCTCCACAAAGCGACGACCGCCGCCGCGCGATGCTGCCCAGCTGCAGACATCCGACGTTTCGATTCTGCTCGACGCATGGGCCCCCGTTTCCCTGGCTTGTGGTCCTCAGCCGTTCCAGGGCGGAACATCATTTGGCCTCCTCCCAGCTGCGGCAGGACTCAGAAGGCGAGGGTGAAGAACAGCAGGACGAGGAGAATGAGGAGGAGGGGGAAGGGTCAAGCTCGGTGGGCTCGCGCCACATCTTACATCCTACACCTCCCACTCATCACCCATCCCTTCCGATTGCGCTGTTGCTTCTCTATCCGCCCGCGCGTGTCATAGCGGACCTGGAACTCCAAAAACGACCCCATCGCGTTATGCGCAGTCGGAGAAAATGAAGCTGGGTGGGAACATTGGGGGAAGAGTGTGCGTATGAGCAGGAGAATGAGGAGGAAAAGGAGGAGGACGAGGAAGGAGGATGACAACACCCAACAAAAAAAACAGGAGCTGGAGTGGAAGGAGCAGGAGGAAGAGGAGGACCAGGGGAAGGCGGATAATGGGAAATGAGTCATGAGGGGGGCGACAGCGAAGGAAAAACATGCATGTTCAAAAAAGCGGCCCGCACTGGGGCCACAGCGCCATACTGAACAACGGGAGCAAAGCGCCGATCCGAACATGAGGCCCGCACTGCAGCGATAGCACCATTCACCATTTCGAAAAACCGTAGACACTCAGTTTCTAAAGCCAAATAAGGGAAGCCAATGTTTAAAACCCCACGTTCAAGAAAAAAATGCGCGGAGAGGGCCGGATCTCTTCTGGACCTTGTTCATAGTGCGATAGAATGCAATTGTCAAGGCGAACCCCCCCCCGCGTCACGTTGCGTCGCGCCTTCTTCTCGCCGCGGTCGGCCAGCGCGACCGCGGGGCGGCTGCGTAGGCGGGGCGCGAGAGTGTCGGCGACCGTCTCCCCTGGAAGGGCGCTGCTGAGCAGCCGGCCATCGGGCAAGACCGCGTCGACCCCGCCGGGAGTCCTGGGGCCCAGCCTGCCCGCCCGATGCTCCGCCGCCAGCTGGCCGCAGACGTCCGCCAGGAGAGCGGCGGGCCCGACCCTGAGACGCTCGGCCCCGCTAAGGGTCAGGAGGCGCATCGAGTCGCCGTCGGGCGATGCCTGCAGAAGCAGCGCTGGAAACAGGCGCGCCGCATAGGTCAGGCCCGCCACCAGCGCCGGGAGATCGCACTGCTGCTGATCACTCTGGCCGCAGGCCGCGGCGCTGCCGTCGCTCCTGAGCAGGACCGTGTGGCCGCCTCCAGCCGCGACTTGCGTGTAGGTCAGGCCCCCCGCCAGCGCCGGGAGGTCGCACTGACCAGAAACATTCCAGCCGCAGGCCACGGCGCTGCCGTCACTCCTGAGCAAAGCCGTGTGGCAGTCTCCAGCCGCGACTTGCGTGTAAGTCAGGCCCTCCACCAGCGCCGGGAGGCACTGACCATCGCCATGCAGGCCGCAAACCACGGCGTTGCCGTCGCTCCTGAGCAGGGCCGTGTGGGTGCGTCCAGCCGCAACTTGCGTGTAGGTCAGGCCTCCCACCAGCCTTGGGAGGTGGCACTCACCAAAAGCATTCCGGCCGCAGGCCACGGCGCTGCCGTCGCTCCTGAGCAAAGCCGTGTGGCCGCATCCAGCCGCAACTTGCGTGTAGGTCAGGCTCCCCACCAACGCTGGGAGGTCGCACTGACCGAGATCATTCCACCCGCAGGCCACGGCGCTGCCATCGCTCCTGAGCAAAGCCGTGTGGCTGCCTCCAGCCGCAACTTGCGTGTAGGTCAGGCCTCCCACCAACGCCGGAAGATCGCACTGACCGTGATCATTCCACCCGCAAGCCACGGCGCTGCCGTCACTCCTGAGCAGGGCCGTGTGGCTGCCTCCAGCCGCAACTTGCGCGTAGGTCAGGTCCCCCGCCAACGCCGGGAGGTCGCACTGACCGTGATCATTCTTGCCGCAGGCCACGGCATTGCCGTCGCTCCTGAGCAGGGCCGTGTGGCTGCCTCCAGCGGCGAACATGGGGCGAGAGGCCGGGCCAAGGCAAAGGCGCGGCTCGAGCCGGGACTCGTCCGCGGCCCGCGGCCGCGGCGACGGCGGCGGGAAGTCCGTGCCTGCTCGCCCGCGGGGGTGCCCGACCAGGTCCCCCGACGCTTCACCACACAACGGGCGACCACCCACTCTGGGCGCTGGACGTTCCACCCAGCATGTACGACTGATGCTTCACTCAGGGGGGGGGACCGACGTCTCTCTCAGCCTGAACGACCGATGTTTCACTCAGGGGGTGCCCACGTTTCACCTTACCTGGGTGACCGACGTTCACAATTCCCTCCTCCTCCTCCACCTCCTCCTCCACCTCCTCCTCCACCTCCTCCTCCACCTCCTCCTCCACCTCCTCCTCCACCTCCTCCTCCTCCGTACTCCATCACGCAACATATCCCCCTCCTCACCCCCAGAATCGGCGACACGAGCCGGAGGCCACCGCAACAACCACGCCAGAGGAAGGAGGCAGGAGAACAACGGAGGAAAGCGGCCAGGGGTTCTGCGCTGGATGGGCCTCGGCAAAATCAGTCAACATGGGCAAATCCGATCAAAACCGGTCCCCAGACCCTTCTCTGTTCGAGCCTGACAGGTTGTTTCAGCCGCGTCCGGCCGCGTCCGGCCGCGGCGACGAGGGGGGCTTTTCTCACCCATATCTGCGGCCTGGAACAAACGCTGGGCCACCTCAGCCCCCCAGCCAGCTCCAAGGGAAGGGGGAAGTTCGCGATTATCTCTGCGCTCTACCCCCGCCTCCTGGGGAAGAACAACTCTCCAGATCAGACCGCGATGGGCGAACAACAAATATCTTCGACGCACCCTGCTGGTGACCTACACTTTGGCGGGAGAAGCATGGAGGGCGGGCTGCAACTGACGAGGGGGCAATACACGGAATGCGATCGAGGGCTGCACTAAAACGGCCCTAGAAGGCCCCCGATGGCCTGAAGACGGCCCACTTACTTCCCCCAGGAAGCCGAGAGGAGGAAGAACGGACGGACGAAACGGAACCCCACGCCGGACAAACGGCCACGTCGAGCGAACTTGAAAAATCAGCCCTGGCCCGCAACAGCCCTGGTCAAATGAGGAGATGGGGGGGGGGGCTCACAAGGCCCCAAACACGGCAAGCATTTTTTTGTTGTGCGGTTCCGTTTTCCATTTGTTTTCCATTTCCGTCGCTGTGTTTCCCTTTGTTCCATCGCCATACTTTTCTCTCGTTCCAGTTCTGGTCCAGATCCCGATCCTGACGCTCTGTGTTTACACTTGTTTTTCCTATTCACGGGGCAAATACTCGCAAACGTTTCTTTGTTCACAAAACGCTTCGAACGATCCCCACCGAAACCTTCGGCGTTTGTCCCAAACTGTGCTCGCGCCTACAGAACAGATGCGTGCAAACATGCGACAGAGGAAGCGGACGGAGCAAATGGTAGCGGAGAAAAGCGGTGGTCGAATGTATTATGCTGTGTTGCATGTTCTTTGTTTATGTAAGCCGCGATGCCATGCCATCATATCATGTTGCGGTATTATGATATATTGTAGTATGACCAATTACGGTATAGCATACTCGATGATATCTTAGCGAAAGCATAACATGGTGTGACTGGCTATGTGTTGCTGTATAAGAACAGGCTCTAGCATGGTCCATGCATACGGTCGTAAAGCCTAAGACCGTGTGTACATATATGCGTTGTTATGCAAAACGGTACAATGAGGTCCGCATGCGGCAATATAAACCATATGTTGGATGACCCACCCATGTGTATATAAGAGGCATGCTATCGTCCGCTATGTTGGAACATTTTACATTGGCTACTAGTCTGTCATGCTACGATCTGAGATGTTACGAAACAGACAGTACGAACAAATTATAATACACCACGATGAATTATGCGCTATGCTCTTATCCAATGTTATGTTGTAGAATGTGTCGTCTGTCGTAGTGTGGGCTGCCGTGCAAAACTGATAGAATACAGTGTGATAGATCTGTACTGTACTGCTCTGTCCTTCTCTATTAAGAAATGTACGGCCCTACTCTCTGACATCTTAACGGGGAATCTATGTTCAGTTCCGTTAAACCAGCTTCCATTGAATTCTACCCGAATGTAATGCATTAGTTATGATCTTCACTGGTCTGCTACAGTATCTGATCTTCAGTGTATGATATTATAATATGTGATGGCTGCTTCTGTTATATTCTGCTGTAAAGCATTCATCGGCAGCGTTATGCAGCCGCATTTTCATGTCATTGCAGCTCCTCTTCTATACTCATCTGCTCCACGAAAGTATGTCATGTTGCATTCTACAGTGGTGCTCATGTTTTGTAATAGGAGATACGGCGTGACGTCGTGCCGCCTGGACGGCGTGACGCCGTGCATTTCGTCGAAGACTCGAACCGGGGCACTCAGGGACCACCAGCGGTCCTTGGGAAATGGCGGCAACGGCATGCAGGTTTGAGTCAGGCGGGCGGGGATCACTGTTCCTAAAATCAAGCAATTGATCAGTATTGCTTTCCAATATGTAATGAGGTGTTCTTCTTCGACGCTGTGAAACTACATCACGGTCCATGGGCGCGTGGCTGAATACGAAATTCGTGGTGAGAGTTCTGCTTGTTGAGTTGTCAATGTCGTTGTTGTTGTTGTTGTTGCCGTTGTTGATGTTGTCGTCGTCCCACCCGCGATCCACCCGCGACCCACCACGCGACCCATCCCGCGACCCACCCCGCGACCCACCCCGCGACCCACCCTGCGACCCACCCGCGACCCACCCGCGACCCACCCACGACCCACCCGCGACCCACCTGCGACCCACCCCGCGACCCACCCGCGACCCACCCCGCGACCCACCCTCAAGGAAGGAAAACACCCAGGACCCGGCAATTGACGTTCACTAAACGGCCCTGGGCGTTGACTACACAACAGCCATGCCCTGTTCGATTCATTCCTTGTGTGCGTTTACTAAACGGCTTCGCTTGCCAAGACGATTACAATGGGGTGGATTTTCTGCCCTCTACACCCGCGACCCACCCGCGACCCACCCACGACCGAACAGCGACCCACCCGCGACCCACCCGCGACCAACCCACATTGGTTTAACGAAAGAATCGGCGCCTGCGTCGGGCTCGTTGTATAATTTGTGAAACTTCTCCGCCTGCGGCGGGCTTCTCCAGAGTCTCGCAAATTGCCGACGTCCCCACCGCCCCCTCGTTCCTATCCGCATCTGCGGGGTGCTACGTATCGTCTACGACTATGTCAGCATATGCGATGCTCTGCGACCGCAATCCATAACAATCTATGCCGTGCTGAGATGTAATCCGCCACCGTGCCGCCCGCTGAGAACGGAATGGGCGTGCCCTCACTCCTGAAAGTACTTAAGAAGCCCGACCCCAAATTCTCAAATCTCCCAGGGCTTGGCGCTGTTCCGCTGGGCCTACTCGTTGCCCGTCGCGGCCTGTCGCACGACTTGTTCGGACCCGACGAGGGCCCGACCCCACAACCCAGCCACGGTGGCGGGATGGGCCGGCATTCTGAACCCTACTGGTTGGGTTTTGGTCTGTTTCCATAAGAGTTTTCCCCTGGGGCTTCGGCGCGTCCCGCCAGCCACCCGGAAGACCTCGTTGCGAAAATAATCCTGGTCCAGATGGCTTCAAGATGGTCCAACATTGCTTCCCAAATGGCCAAGATGGCCTCCACGTCCGCTCAAGATGATCCAAAATGGCCTCCAAGACGGCCCAAGAGGGTCCGATATGCCTCCAATCCAACTCCGCCCAAGAAGCCACCTAGACGGCCCAAGATGGCTCTCAGATGGCCACGACGGCCCAAGAGGACCCCGAGAGGTCTCCAAGACGGCCCCAGAGGCCTCCAAAAGGGCCTCTAAGATGGCCCCAAAACGGCCGAAGAGGCTCCTAGGACGGCCCCAAGAAGGCGAGAAGGCCCCAAAACGGCCCAAGAGGCCTCCAAGACGCCCAAGACGGCCTCCAAGACAGCCGTGGAGCCCTCCAAGAAGGCCCCAAGACGGCCCAGAGAGGCCCCCAAGACGGCTTCCGACGGCGTCAGACGGGCCAGGAACGCCCTAAGACAGTCAAAGAAACCCCCGAGATGCCCCCAATGACCTCCAAGAGGCCCAACGAGGCCCCTAAGATGCCCCCAAAGGTTCACAGGGAACTCCCAGGAGGCCCCATGAATGCCCCCAGAGGCCCCCAAGATGCCCCCTCCTCCTCCTTCCTCCTCCTCCTCCTCCTCCTCCTCCTCCTCCTCCTCCTCCTCCTCCTCCTCATCCCCCTTGAGATCCTCGAATCTTCGCTGCCATCCTCCCCCAAGTGTTCCCCGAAGGGCTTCCACAACGGCTGGGGGAACACATGGTCCGATAGCTTGGCAGAGCTCTTGCCACAACGTTCGGCCACATGGGCGATTCTGAAAGGCAGGGGGCGGCGGTGATTCGCCGTAGCCGTCTTCGATAAGACATACAAAACATGCAGCCGAAAATGTGACCAAGAAAACAATGAATGAAGAAATCTGGGCCCGCTTCCTGGAAGCTTCTCCAAAACAAAATGATTTGTTGATCTGCGGGTCGAAAGCGGGCCTCTTCCGGTTAAGAGCTAGGCGGGACGCGCACAGCACTAATTGGGGAGACAGGGCGCCGGCGGGCGGGGCCTCAGGCGGCCCGAGGGTGCGGGGCGCAGGCGGTGCCGAAGAGCTTGCACAGGAAAAGGTACGCCTTGGACAAGAGCCGGAGGCAAAGTCCCCGAGGGGGAGCGATTTGGTGTTGCCGTCAACGGCGCGTCAGAATCACCATCCTCGAGTGCTGCGTGGGGAGGGACGTGACCAGGTCGACGTCCGAGGGGTAGAGGTAGACCAGATAGGCGAAGTGCAACAGGTGCCACCAACTGGTAAGGAGAGGCCCAGGAGATGAGGAGGACCACGAAGACGACGGTTTCTCCAAAACAAGTCTGGGCCAACTTCTGTTGTTGACGCTGGGGTGGCGAGCGCGCTCGAGGGGCCAGCTTTCCAGCAAGTTAGTTCAGAAACGCTGGCCCAGCTGTTCGGAAGGTCTCTCAATCAGACTCTCGACTCTACGCGCAGATGGCCTGGAGCCGCCGCGGGGGAATACACGATGCATGACCTCGAGGCGAACATGGTTTTTTTTTCCAGACGCGCCTGCGAGCAGGCACCTTGCGGGTCGTGGAGCGCGCTCGGTGAACATCAGACGACCGAGACGTCGGCCAGCGCCCATCCAGAGACTGGACGACGCCGACAGCGCCGCCGAGGGCACCTCATGGCAGGAGTCTGGGAGGGCGGAGCGGCCCACGGGGGAGGAGGAGGAGGAGGAGGAGGAGGAGGAGGAG